GAGTGGATTTCCATGCGGAAAGATGTGGGCAGCCCGGTGACCTTTGGCGACACGGCTGGATCCACCCTCCAGTAAGTTCGAATTTTGTCCTCTGTGTTTATGGAAACTTGCGGGCCTGGGCCTTGCTGGGGTTTGGCGGAGGAAAGGGGCTTTCGGATTCCGATGTCTGTGTTAACCATGCTCTCTCCTCATCACCAGACTCAAGACTGGCAACGAGTTTGGGCGTTTGAGGAAGGGGGGAGGGGAAGGGTGACACCAAATAGCCCGTGCATAGAGAGAATTCTGGATTTATGCATTGATGAAAGGTATATTAACCAATCTCTAAAAATAGACCCCTCCCAATCAGTGCAGATTTGGGGTTGCTCTGTGGTTTGGAGGCCCCTTTGCGAAACTGGAGGTCTGTGACCCCTGAGATCCTCCCTTCATCCCTCGACCATCCCCCAGCCCCAAAACAGGACAGGGGGAAGGTGGTTTCCGAAAACTCAGCAACTCTGGTTTTTGAAACTTTCTCTGCTTTTGCATTGCATTTGTTGGTCTGCTGGGTGCCCCGACCCCCTTATCATGTCCTTCTTTTGGGATGGGTTGTTGATTTCATTGGATTTGCCCTCCCTTGGCTCATGTGCCCTTATTTATGGCAGCGTACGTGGTCTGGGTGTAGACTTTCAGGAAGCGCAGCCATGAGGCGCATATGTCCGTGTGTGGATACAGCATGAATTTTCCTGATAGTTTGCGGGCTTGGAATATTCTTCTGTTCACTCCAGCCCTTGCCTTCAGGCTCTTCTAGAAGGTGAGAGAAGACGAAATCCCTTGTGAGGGTTTAGGGACAAGAGTGTGAAGTTTTGCTGTTTACTTTCTGGTCTGAGTTGAGGCTCCTGGAACTTTTTAGTTGCTGGGGAAAACCGAGGAGAAACGTGTGTTTGTGTGTTGCTGGTGGGCGGGGGCCTTTGGGAGGGAGGCCTGCTGAGGACTCTGTCTGCTGGGCCATTTGCTATAGGATGTTGCAGACCTATTTTGCATACTGGGGGTGACAAGTTGAGACTTGTTCACTTGACACACTCCTGTGGTCATAGTGAATCTCTCTAAAGTTTTAACGAGTGGAGAAGGGGCTTGTGTGGATCCTTGGAACCTGCTTGAAACTTCCCAGAAGACTTATGAAGAGAAAAACCTTCATGGAAGTGGCAGAAGGACAAACAACTCTGTGGCTGGGACCAGCATCATGGCCTGGTCTCCACTGTTTGAGAAGGGAGCTGCATCATGGAGGTGAGGACCTGCCTCGTGGTCTAAGTTGGCATGTGGGCCTGGCTGGAATTCCACGTGTGGGCCTAGGCTTGGAAACTGGGCGGGGGTCCTGTGCAGACTCTGATGCTATACCCACTGAACTCAGTCCCAGAGGAGATTTGTTCTGTGGACACCTTGTTGTTTTGGTTGCTTGGTTAAGGGCTGCTTTTGTTGCTGCTTTACCTACTTTGAGCACAGGATTTTGCATAAACCAGGCTTCTCTTGAAAAGTAAAAGAAATGAATTTCTTTTTCCTATTGAGTTGCCCCTCTCTTATGCATCCCCCGCCCCCACCCCCCGGCCTCCATGCTGTCTGTTTGCTCCTTCAGTCCTTAGCTAGAGCTTTTCTGGGCTGGAAAGAGGGAGTTCTTTTTCTTGGTTTTGAAATACCTGATCCATGCTGATTTATGGGATTGCCGGTCTAAAATCCCGGCGAATTCTCACCATTCGTGTGCAACCCCCTGTTCTTTAGGTTTTTCTCCTGAATGGCTTGGGAGCCATGTTTACCAAAGCCCAGGGCCTCTGCCCGCCTGGGCTGGACACCTTTCTCGGCCAGCTCAGCCAAGGAGGCTCACAGACCGTAGACACCCTTGGGCTTCTTCCTCCTTGCACGAGTGGCCCGAGATTTGGCCAGACCAATGGCAGCTGGACCCTTTCTTGGGGAAGCAGAGGATCCTGGATAGTTGCTGTCCACGTGGAGCGGTAGACGGGGCCTGTTCCTGTGTGTGTTTGAGATGTCACATGGCCCTTCTGGATGCCTTGGCGTTTTATTTTGCATGACATAGTTGGCTGTAGACATGGCACGGTCCTTGGTTTCTTTTTTTCTCTTTAAGGGACCAGCCCCACCCCGGAACTGCCAGGGGGGCCTGACCCGTGGTGGGAACAGAGTAACAACTTGTGGTGTATTTCTGACCATTGTTGAGCCTTATTGACAGTCAGTGCTACACCTTCCCTAGAAAATCTCAGAACTTTCTAGACCTTACAGGAGAATGCTGGCAAAATTGGTCCTTTGTAAGAGCTTCCTCTGTCTTCTGTTCTTCCAGCACCATTTAATCTCAGGAACTAATAATAGTAATAATAACAATAAGAATAGTACTTGGATTACCATTGAGATCCTGTATCATGCCAGGCATGGCACATTCTTTACATTTTATATTCCCGACAACCTCGTGAGGCCCTTATCATAAAATGTCTAGCATTGATGGAGCTCTTGCTGTGGGCCAGGCTCAATTCTAAATGCCTTAGATCTTTGCCTCATTTAGTCTTTCAGCAATCCTATTAATTAGGATTACTATTATTATTTTGCTGATGAGGAAAAAGCAGCTCAGAGAGGTTAACACAATCGCCCAGGGTCACACAGCCAGGGAGCAGCCAAGCTGGGATTTGGACCAGGACTGTGTGACTCCCTGGGCCCAGGGCTCTAACTTCCAGAAGTTTGAGGACCATGAAATTAAGAACAAGCAGGAGGATGGAGTGTGTTCCTCAACCTCCCACTCCACTGCAGGCACAAATAGAAACTCGAATGTCTTGCAAGGAGACACCATGTGCTTTGTCTGCTGGGCTCCTCTCCCATCCTGTTCTCTCCCCGCCCCACCCCCCAGCGGAGCAGCCTGCACACAATGGAGCAGAGAAGCCTTGGGTGGGGGCTGCAGTGCTGGGAAACGTCAGGGTCTGGGGGTCTGGGAAGGGGAGCCATGGTAGGGGATGAGCGCCCCAGTCTTGGTGAAGAATCTATGATCATTTGCAAAATGAGACATCCAGGCATCACTCTAGGGCATTTCTGGGATCTAATTAATATCTCCTTTCACAGCAGATGGTAGACGTAGAGCTCTGTTTTGCAAATGATCACATCCTTTTCCCCACCTCCCACCCCAAACTGTAGAGACCCTAAGCAATACAAAGCAAAACAAAGATTGGGACAGCCCCTTCCCCTAACCCGTTGTTAAAACAAAAACAAAACAATGCCGAATCGTAAAACAAGACTTACATGATGCTGAAATGGCCTCGTTGGATGTGTTTTTTTTTAATTGCAGAATTTTGAATTGGATTTCTTTTCTTTTTTCCCCCTCCTTCTTTTTTGGGGGCACGTGGGGCATTATTTTGCTGGCGCCTGGTGGGTAGTCTGAGCCACAGTATTGTTTGCTTTCTTCCCTTGTTGACAATGAACTTCTTGAGAGCAGGCCCCGGGAGGTAGTTGTCTTCACATGTTTGGTGCCTGACACAGCCCTGGTGCTTTGTTGAATCAGGCGGCTGTCAGAACTGCCTTGTCTTCAAGGAAGCATGAACCTGCATGGTCTACGGTCATTGTCTTTTTAGATGTGAAGAAGCTCGGACACGTGGGAGGTGGAGGGTTTTGCCCGAGGGAAAGGGCACTGAGGACCCAGAAGGAAACCAGCCAGCGGCAGAAGGATCTGGGGAAGGGAGCTGGGTAGTGTTAATCTGGGTAACTTTTGGGAAAGTTACTTCGCCTCTCTAAGCCTCAGTTTCTTCATCTACAAAATGGGGATGATAAAGCCCCCAGCTCATAGGTTGTTGTGAGGTGTAAATGGGTGATGAACAGAAGGGGTTTAGTAGAGTACCTGGACTCATAGTGAACACGCAGTATTACTCTGATATTACAGAATCCATGGGTGATGCAAACGGTTAATGTGCTTGGCTCCTAACCCAGAGGTTGAAGGTTCAAGTACACTCAGAAGCACCTCAGAAGAAAGATCCGGTGATCTACTTCCAAAAAATCAGCCATTGAAGATCCTATGGTGCACAGTTCTGCTCAGACACGCATGGGGTCGCCATGAGTAGGAATGGACTCATCGGCAGCTGGAACTGGTTTTAATATTATTGCCATTACAGTTGTTGTTTCTTACTCCTTCCTGTGGCAGCGTAGAGTGGTGGTATCTGAATCCATTTTAATGTGTAAAGGTGACATTCTGGTTACATAGATGGTAAGATGGCAGTAACTTCACTAGCTCCTTCCCAAGAGCCTTAAGCACTTTGCAAACTGGCTTTTTCTTTATAAGCATCAGAAAGAAGCTCTGGTTAATGTAAGAAAGAGAAAGACAAGCAAGCAAGCTGCAGAAGCAGACCTCAGCAAGGATAGGAGTCAGAGGACACGCACCTCTGGAGTCAGGACATGCCGCTCCGGAGTCAGACCGAGGCCTTCGCAAGCTCCTTAACCTCTCTGTGCTGCCCTGTCTTCAGCTGCTAAACAAGCATGCGAGTCGTTCCTTCCTCCCAGGGTTGCTGAAAGCCGGGACCACGGGGGAAGCACTCAAGATGTAAAAGCAATTGTTATTATTTATTATTCCTTACTACTCTATTTTCCTGGTTAACGTCCCCGTGTTTGCCATTCTGCTTAAGATAGATTGATTGATGGATTTACTGAGCAGCTGCTATGGCCCACACCTTTCTAATTTTTGGAGATGCAGCAGGGAACACAAGACAGAAATCCCTGTCTTCCTGGAGTGTCAGGCACAGGGGACCCCGGGATGGACAGGAAACCATCTGTTATGGATTGAATTGTATCCCCCCAAGATATGTTTATTAGAAAATCAGAAAAAATCTGGAGAAAAATCTATAAAAAATAAATATCATTTATTGAGTTAAATGCAATCACCGTTTTGTCTTTCTGCTTTGCTGTTTTTTTTTTAAACCAATAGTAATCATGGTGTGTCTGTTTGCGTCCCAATTTTTTCCTAGTAATCATCAAGTTTCAGCATACCTGCATATTGTTACATCTACTCGCTGTGTTTCGTTTTTATTGGGTAGATGATATTTCTGTTCAGTGACTGTTTCATTGTTGACTTAATCATCCCTTTAGTTTGGCTATTTAGTGTCATAATAGATGGTTTATATATATCAAGCTTTCTGTTTTTCAATTAAATTTCTTTTTTGGAGGAATCCCCAGTCCTAGGGTTATTTCATCATAGCTTCTCAGTATTTTTATCCTTTTAGATAAAAATTATGACTTTTGAAATTTTCACACAGGTCCAATTTGCTGACTTTTGCTGAGATGGGGGATGTTTGTTGCTGTTAATGATATGTTGTTAGGTGCCATCAAGTCGGTTCCCAACTCATAGTGATCCTGTGTTCCACAGAACAAAACACTGCCTGGTCCTGTGCCATCCTCACAATGATTGCTATGTTTGAGCCCATTGTTGCAGATGCCGTGTCAATCCATCTTGTTGAGGGTCTTCCTCTTTTTCACTGACCCTTTACTTTACCAAGCGTGATGTCATTCTCCAGGGACTGATCCCTCCTGATAACATGTCCAAAATACATGAGATGAAGTCTCTGCATCCTCCCTTCTAAGGAGCACTCTGGCTATATCTCTTCCAAGACAGATTTGTTTGTTCTTCTGGCAGTCCATGGTATATTCATTATTCTTTGCCAACACCATAATTCAAAGGCGTCAGTTCATCTTCGGTCTTTCTTATTCATTGTCCAGATTTCACGTGCCTATGAGGCGATTGAAAATACCATGGCTTGGGTCAGGTGCACCTTAGTCCTCAAGGTGACAGCTTTGCTTTTTGACACTTTAAAAAGGTCTTTGGCAGCAGATTTGCCCAATGCAATGCATCATTTGATTTCTTGACTGCTGCTTCCTGGGGATTGATCGTGGATCCAAGTAAAATGAAATCCTTGACAACTTCAGTCTTTTCTCCGTTTATCCTGATGTTGCTTATTGGTACAGTTGTGAAGATTTTTGTTTTCTTTATGTTGAGGTGTAATCCATACTGAAGACTATAGTCTTTCATCTTCATCAGTAAGTGCTTCAAGTCCTCTTCAGTTTCAGCAAGCAAGGTTATGTCATCTGCATATTGCAGGTTGTTAACGAGTCTTCCTTTAATCCTGATGCCGCGTTCTTCAGATAGTCCAGCTTCTTGGATTATTTGCTCAGAGTTAGATATACTCATATGCTATTAACATTTATGTATAATATTTATTACATGGCTAGACACGTTTCTAGAGAGTCCTGGTGACGCA